TGGAAATCTTCAATAATTGTTGTTGATTGCAGATGTGTCTAGTAGTTCCCATTGATTTAGCTTGGAAAGCGGGGAGAATGGCGCTAGGCTTACCGCACCGTGACGTCACTGCTGGAAGATGGCAGGAGGGAGGGGCTACTATATTTGGGCAAAAATGGCCGCTCCCAGACTCTGTGATCGTAATGAAAATTATTGTTTTTATTTTTTTACTGATTAACACTAAATAAATCAAATCACAGCAAACGTATTAGTTTTAGGTATAAATAATGATCCATTAATTATTCCTGCTGAATGAACTTTTCCTTTAAAACTGATGAGTCGTTTCTTATGAAATGGTGAGTTTTTCCACCTCAGTAATAAATATTTCATGGTGAATATTTCATCATACATCTGATGTGTGATGAAATTAGGTTTTCTGGTGGCTCAGTGCTGAAGCAGGTAACTTTAACTTAAAAAAAAAAACCATCGATCCATTTTTCTATCTATCAGCTGACGATCTGCTCTGCTCTAAACTGATGAGGAGTTGATGCGTGAAAAATAGACCAGCCGCTGATTTCAGAGAACTGTTCAGCGGACCTCATGGACACGACTGATTCGCTGCTTTAGAGTTTGGCGAACCCTGGGTTAGACCGACTAAAGACCACACCAGTATACATTTTTATATTTATTCCTGGGGATGTTGGGTCAAAGGAGGGTCCTACTGATTCAACTGTTTGCCTTCAGAAAAAGGAGGAACCTCCATCAAACCAGGGGAAGATCATTTATTTGTTTACTGACAGGGAGAAAAACTTTATTTGCAACTTAACTCATAACTGCAGTGAAATACTTTATGAGTTCAGGTATCAACAAGTCATATCCAAACAGAAAGGGAAGAAGGTTTGTCCAGAACATCAGCAAACAGATCTGCATTAAACAGCGACTCATTGCAGATGGAGGAACCAGGGAGGCGATTCTGAAGAGCTGAAGGTCGACCTTCTTCATCCTCCTTCACCTGGAAACTGCTGTTTGGCTCAAAGCCTTCAGAAACCACAGGCATGAACCATTCCTCCTCATCGCCAACTCTTTCTAAAACCTGCTTGTTGTCCTTCACACCTCCAAGAAAGAACTGCCAGGAAGTGTTTCCTTCCACACTGGAGAGTAGCCTCCATACGGCTGATAAACAGCCGGGGGGGGGGGTTACCATCAGGCAATACTAGGCAGCTGCCTAGGGCCCCAACTTCCTGGGGGCCCCATAAAACTCTGTTTCCATGTATGGTTAATACAACTATTCCTTATTTCTGCACATTAATTATGATTTTGATAAAAATCCTTTGGCTAAAATGCCATCAGAACGCTGATAATATTCAGTGTGTCTCAGCCCCCCCCCTTCAGTGTCCACCATATTGGATCAGTCCATTTGCTGCACATGTTCAGAAAGGTCCAAACAGACAGCAGCAAACCATTTGAAAACAAACCATGCAAAGAGCAGTGTTGCCAACTTAGCGCTTTAGTCGCTATATTTAGCCACTTTTCAGACCCCTCTAGCACTTTGATTTCTAAAAAGCTCCTAGCGCCAAATCTAGAGACTTTTTTTCTGCTTCTGGAGACTTTGGAGACAACATCTAAAAGCAGCGAACTCTGCTCTCCAGAGCGAGTAGATTGGTAACCCCGCCTCCTGCTCTCCTCTATCTTGTCTGCTGTCATGATTCATGCTGCTATTATTTCATCCAAATGAAAAATGGAGAACAGATAAGCAGATCATGGCTTGTCTACAGTGAAAAGAAGGACTGGGTTATTTACTTTGGCCTTTTTGGAAACACAGGAAGGAGCAATCAGCTAAGTGAGCTTAGTGCTTGGAAAAAATCTTTCATTCCTTTAGAGACAGCATGAAAAGTCAGCTGAGTACAAAACATAGAGAGGAAAACAAGAAGAAAAGGGACAAGAAGAGAGGGACACAACCTAGAACAGAGAATGGATGTCTATTCTATGAACATTTCTACATCTGGAGAATGGGGCTGTTTGATGTCTTCTCCATTCAGAGGGGCCCCTGCCTGTCTTTGCCTAGGGCCCTGAATTTCCTCAATCCGCCCCTGTGAACAGGCCTGGACTGCGGCTGTTTAATGGTTGGTATCTAAAACCGTTTCTGTTTAAGTCGCCGTGGATGAAGGTCAGTCTGAGTAAAGGAAGAACCGAGCGCCTTTCGATGGTTGTTGTCTGCAGACGATGTTCAAACCCCACCAAGCTGCGCTCTCAGCGCTGCAGCATAATGGTCCAGATTTTTCGCAGTAAATTCGTGCTGACAGCTTAATCACAGGCCTGGTGGTGAACGTGAAGGCAGTGAATGGTCATATTGTGAGGCGTCCAGCTCATGGCTGTTGTCCATGTCTGGGATTATAATGGAATAATAAACACAGAGACGTGAGTTTCTCTTTAATGAGGAGGCAGCGTCAGAGCAGGCCAATAAAAATGATTTTTTTTAAATAAGCCATCAGATGGTTATGATTAACATGAAGAAGGAATGAGTGTGTGATGTTTGCAAAGGAAAGGTTATAAAAGGAGCCCATCTGTCCGCCAGGCTGCCCCACACCTGGAAGAAAAGGAATGATGTCTGAACCAGTCACACCAAAACACCTTCAGCGTCTCTTCTCTTTCAGCCATTATCGTGTCTGCTGGTTAATTACACCGTTTGCCTTTTGTCAGAAATGCATCCTGTCTCCTGGGCGCGTGCACATCGGGGCGGGGGCTAGATGAAGGAGCACCACAGTGAGAGGAGACAGCAGACAGACGCAAATTAATCTCCAGAGCCTGAGGGAAAGGATTTTATTAGGTTCACATGTGAAGCAGCGGGCCGAGCTGTCAGGAGGAGTCTGGATGGAAATGTTCGCCCATCTGAGAGTTACGCCGTTTCACAGAGCGGCTCCCAGCACAAAGACATCTGCTCAGGAGCCCAGATGAAAACCATGGAGCCTCAGAGCTCTGCAGGCCTCAGCTCAACCTTCATCTGACGTTAGAGTTCCAGCAGCATCAGGATCTGCAGCTTCCTTCATCCCTTCTGCCTTTTATGTCACAAACCAGACAGAAGACCCACATTTACAGCGAGACACATTTAGATGGTTTATTCTGAACAGCGCGTCCACAGAGGACCAGGGAGAACTAGGATGGACATAGAGGTTAACTAAGGTTAACTAGTCTCCCTCTCAAAGGTTAGCTTTAACTTAGCAGCTTTAACGGAGCCGACTGCTCCTTCAACAGATGTTGGGGGGCCTCCTGGATGAGGAGCGGAGCGGCTGATTGACAGGAACAGGAACCAATCATGGCAGAGATTGACTCTGAAGGCTGGGAACTAAGTTCAGGGAACCGTCATTTTAATCCAGGTCTGTTTAAATAGTTTTAAATCATTTTTTGAAAAATGGTCGAAAAAAAAACCCATCAGATTTTATTACTTTTGTCAGATTTCAGTTTTTTTCTGTGAACATTTTGGAATTTTTATTTGATTAAAAGAAGGAAACCATCCATATATCTATATATATATATATAGATATATATATAGATATATAATAAAAATGTAAAGGATGAAAAGTAAGAGTTAAACAGATCATGGATCATGAACATCTTTCAGAGTTAGAACTGAAAGTGTCTAATCTGGTAGCAGTCAGCGACGACCTTTGACCCCTCGCTGAACTGTTGATTAGCAGGTAAATGGAGATTAAAGGTCTGATGTGTAGGAAGTGGCGCCATCTAGTGGCTGAAATACTAAATTAATGAACCAACCATCCCTGACCGACATCCTACATCTTTCTGTGACCATGAAAGGAGTGAAATGTCCAAACTACAGCCAGGGTTTGCTTTGTTCTGGAATAAACTGGGAAACCTGCTGGTTTTAAATGATGGCTGAGCTGAAACATTCACATAAGGACGTAGAAATGTGGCAGCTGTAGAACCGGGTCTCGGTGCAGTGGTTCCACTTCAGTCTGAATCATTTCCAGGTTTTTACGTTTAGATGCATAAACTACATGTCAGGATCCCTGTTTTTTGTTTGTCTGTTTGTCTTGTCTTTTGTATTTCTTCCTTCCACCACCAGGAGGCGCCTGGCTCCGGTTCGCCTTCTCACGCACCTGCAAGCATTTACCTCATCATGGGACTGCTCTTAAGCTGCTGGTTGCCACTGATTCAACGCCAGTGTTTGCCAGTGTGGGGTACTCTAGCCAAGCCTTGTTTATGCTGAGTCTAATCTGAGTTTTAGCATTTTGAGTTTTAGTTCTCTAGCCAAACTGAGATCACATTGAGTTTAACTGAGCGCTTGTTTCTCCCTGAGACTAAACTTTGTTTGTTCTTTGCTTTTCGGCAGGAAGCCTTCCTGCAAACTGGACCTTTTCGGACCGCCTCTCCCAAGTGGGATCAGCTGAGCCTTAAACTGAGCGACGGATTCCAAACAGGAGGTTTGGATCCAGCCACCTTTGAGCACGCTGAGATCTCTCTCTGAGTAAGGAAGTCATCTTCACCACGACCCGTTCAAGTACCACAGGGAAACTGAGTTGCAACCAGCGGCTGCATCATTCAACTCCGTCCGAGTTCTGGGTAAACCCTGTTCAGCCCTCCACCGAATCAAACAAACCCTGGAAGACCAACACATAGACTGGAGTCTACGTGTCTCTTCTTCTCTGGAAACGTGAGTGGCAACAAATCCTCTCCTTCAAGATTGACAACTCCAATTTCCCACTAAGACTGAATCTAACAGCCTGTCTCCCCTTTGTCTTCCAGTTTCCGGCTGAGCAGAAACCAAACTCAATATACCCTTCAATAAAACCCGTTGAACTTTTATATTGTGTCTCTCTGTTTGGCTTCACTGCATGTGGGTCGAGCCTTAGAAAGAATCACTACATGAGTGGCGCTCCGAGGTAACGATTCCACTATGAATGAAAGAAGTGCGACATGAGACTGAGGTGACTGACGGCGAAGTGGGTCAAAGGCGGAGAGGACAATGATGTTTGCAGAGATTTGCAAATTCAACACTGAAGATGTTGTGGTTTAAGAGTTTTATTTATACAAAAACCACAGTTTCAACACTGACATGGAAACACTGACCAGAGGCTCTGATGGAGCAACGTACAGACGGATGGCAACTAGCAGGAGTTTAAGGGTTGGTCATCGAACAGGAATCACAGACATCTGCACAGTTACTGTAGCAGCGTGGAGCAACAACGATACCGGCAACGTGGAGCAACAACGCCACCGGCAACATGGAGCAACAACGCCACCTGCAGCGTGGAGCAACATCGCCGCCGGCAACGTGGAGCAACATTGCACCGGCAGCAGCAATGGACGGGTTTTCATACCACTTCCACATTTAATCATATTTCAATGCTGAGTTTATTTCAGTGGGATTTTCGGGGGAAACGACAGGAAGCAGGCTGTGGTACGATTCTCTCTACTCTGATACCCTGAAGTAAATCCAGCAGCAGTCCATGAATCCAGAGGAAACCTGACTGGATGCTGCAGTTCTTCCTCCGGTGATGAAGGCAGTTCTTCTGTGAAGGGTTCAAAGGTCAGGAGAGCAAAGAGCATCACATGGTGGTGGCCCCATCATGCTGTGTGGACGGTTCGGTTCAGCAGATGCAGGAAAGACTGTAGACGTTGGAGGGAGGTGGATGCAGAGGTGGGCGGTGATGAGTTTACATTTAGTGAGGAGCTTTGAAACAAAAGCTACGTTCAGCCTTAGTTTTACTTTTCTTTTAGTTTTAATGAAATGATTTTATCAGGAATAATAATTCTGGCTATTCTGACCAACATTACTGAATTAAACTGTGAACACAAGCATTAATGTCAAAGTGAGACCTCTCGTTTTTACACTGAACCCTTTTCAGGAGTCAGAACCTGCAGCGAACAGCTGATCGGCAGCGGATCTACTTCCACGTTTCTAACCTGAACTATGATGGTTCCTGTCATCAGATGAGAAGATCTGAGCCTGACCTTCACCTGCAGACTCCTGCTGTGCTCCATCATGTTTATCTCAACATCCAGACATCCGGTCGCCATGGTACTGACGGCCTAGTCAAAGTCCTTCAGATATGGCCCCCTTCTAACCTGACTGATCTCCACAGAGGAAGCTTTCCTGATCTATGAGGTCAGTGGCGATGGCGGGGAGGACCTGTCCCTCTGCCCTATTGGTCCTGAAACGTATCCCTAAGAGCTTCCTATCACCATGAGGTCAGAGGAACATGGACGCCATCACTGGATCCTCCCCTTCAGACCTTCCTGTGCTGAAGGAGGCAGCTTGAAGCCCCCACTGCTCCCTCCATGCATGAACTGTTTATTCACTTCTTTCTGTTGGTCTATGAAATCAAATCTCAATAAATAACAAAATGTGGAAAAGGGGAAAAGGTTCTTCTAAAAGGCACTCTGAACATGAAGGTCACCCCCCCCCCCCCCTGTTTACACAGGTAGATGAAGTTCTGCAGGGAGGGGGGGCAGACTGACTGGGTGAGAAGCTGCACAGATGTTCCTGCCTGGATCCGGGACCCACACCTAGGCTCATGCGGACCCCCCCCCCGTTCGTGTGGGGGCCTCATTCTTTCCCATGCTGCATTTTAACGAGGCATGTTGTTTTGTTGTCAGTTGCATGTGAAGGGTTCATCTAGCCGTCAGAGAGCCTGCTAAGCGCCACGCTGCGGTTTGCAGGCGTGTGTGTGATGGATTACTGAGGCCTGTAATGAGCGGAGCGTGTCTCTCGGGTGAGCGGGGGCTCAACTCGGCCCCCGGGATCAGCGGTTTGTGGTGTTTGGCTTTGCAAAGTGACGAAATATGCCTTGCTTGGTTCACCATGATTGAAAGCACGTATAATGGAGAAGGTAAGGTATGTTGTACATGTGTCCCTGGGCTGCAGGTCAGTCATAAGGAGCATGTGAGGGGGGGCGGGATCTGATTCCTCTGAAACGTTAACGTCCAGCAAACCCTTCATCCAAAAATCCTCACATTTCTCTGAACAGTTTTTAAAATGAAGTCTGAGGCCAAGAAAAACGCTGCAGCTTGAGGGTGTTGGGGTCCTGGAAGGAAGCCTCCTCAGCTGCACTCCTCACAGTTACAGGCCAGGATGTATCTGTAGGTGGCCGTAATGCGAGTCCCGCCGGCGCAGCGCAGCCTCACCGCCTTCAGCTTGGAGGTATGAGGTCTGCAGCAGGAGCAGAAGCTCTTGAAGGGCTGCTTAAGGACCGAGCTGAAGGAGATGAGGGGGTCTGAGCGGGTGGTGTGGCTGCAGTGGCCCTCGCAGCGCGCCAGCAGCACCATCTGCACAGAAGGAGAGAAGATAAGGCTGTAAATACATGGGGGGGCTCTGCAGACGCCTAACTCCTCTGCAGCCTCCCACTCTCAGCCTTGCACCTGCAGAGGGGAGATAGCGCCGTCCCACACCTGCACCTTCAGGGTCACATGCGAAGTTCTCCTCCAAGGCCGACCCATCAGCACACACACACACACACACACCTACACACACACCCACACACACACACACACACACACACACACCTACACACACACACACACACACAGCCTGATTAGTGCGGCCACCGTGGGCTGGCGCTTCCTGTGTGGGTCGCTGCATTCCTCCTGTGTCCCGTCCTCCTCTCAGCTGCTGCGTGTCGCCGACCGTGTTCCCACTTTGACCAAAGCCTGTCTGGAGCCGCAGCGACCTCACACACACACCGCCACATGGCAGGAGCGCTGTCGCCACTTTAAGTCCGTTTGTCTTTGTTCTGCCCGGCGATAGGACCATCATCCCCCCCCATCACATCAACCGAACAGTCACATTTACATCCTGACAGCCGGCACATCATCATCATCATCATCATCATCATCATCATGGAAACCAACATTTAAAAACAAATAACTGATAAATCTAAGAATCATAAACTATACTGTGGTGAAATTTTATGTTTCAGGAGGAAAATGGAGCTGATACTGTAATCCTTAAACTCTTGATTAAAACCAAGAACAGGAAGGTTGGAGAGTGACGTGAAGGTTGATGGTTCCAATCCGACCTATTTGACCCTGGAGATCTGTAGGGAGCAGACTGAACCCCTGAGAAGGTGATGACCACCTACCGTCCTCTGGAGGCGGTCTGATGACCAGTCATGTCTGAATGTTTCTCCACGTGATTCTGGTTCCCGGTCCCTGGATGGCTCAGCCAATCAGAGCCATCACAGCATCACCGGTCAAGCTGATGCTCACGGTGAGGAAATGGCAGAATTTCCGATTTTTCAATGACTTTGATTTTCAGATGGATTCTTCTAGACTTTGACCAAAGTGAAGCAGAAGGATGAGATCAGATCAGGCAAAGCTGCAGTTTCACTGGTTCTTCTGGTTTAAAACTTAATTAGAATAAAGCGGCTGACCCCGCTTCCTGGTGTCATCTTATTAGCGGAAGATGTAAACTTAGGCCCATTCCTCCCTCGTGGTGCTGAGAACACTACAGTGAGTTCCACTCAGTGAGGGAAGTGCAAGTGAAGATTTTCTCCCTAAGAATTCGGACACTGCTAACTAATACTAATTGTATTTATATCTAGTTAAGATATCCCATCATATTTATTTTTTTAAACGTGTGGTTAATGTAAAAACATGCGTACATGTTCTTTTCCACAGAATGACGCCATTTTTCTTTTCGCTGAATGAGTTCTGAGGAGCCGCTTCATTCCAAGTCAGCTCTTGAGAGCCCTCAGTCTGAAGGGATCATTTGAAGGGTTGAAGGGAACTTCCCCCTAGCTCTGAAGGTAACTTTTCCCTAGCTCTGAAGGGAACTTTTCCCTAGCTCTGAAGGGAACTTCCCCCTAGCTCTGAAGGGAACTTTTCCCTAGCTCTGAAGGGAACTTCCCCCTAGCTCTGAAGGGAACTTTTCCCTAGCTCTGAAGGTAACTTTTCCCTAGCTCTGAAGGGAACTTCCCCCTAGCTCTGAAGGGAACTTTTCCCTAGCTCTGAAGGGAACTTTTCCCTAGCTCTGAAGGTAACTTCTCCCTAGCTCTGAAGGGAACTTTTCCCTAGCTCTGAAGGGAACTTTTCCCTAGCTCTGAAGGGAACTTCCCCCTAGCTCTGAAGGTAACTTTTCCCTAGCTCTGAAGGGAACTTTTCCCTAGCTCTGAAGGGAACTTCCCCCTAGCTCTGAAGGTAACTTTTTCCTAGCTCTGAAGGGAACTTTTCCCTAGCTCTGAAGGGAACTTTTCCCTAGCTCTGAAGGTAACTTCTCCCTAGCTCTGAAGGGAACTTCCCCCTAGCTCTGAAGGGAACTTCCCCCTACCTCTGAAGGTAACTTTTCCCTAGCTCTGAAGGGAACTTTTCCCTAGCTCTGAAGGGAACTTTTCCCTAGCTCTGAAGGGAACCTTTCCCTAGCTCTGAAGGGAACTTTTCCCTAGCTCTGAAGGTAACTTTTCCCTAGCTCTGAAGGGAACTTTTCCCTAGCTCTGAAGGGAACTTCCCCCTAGCTCTGAAGGTAACTTCTCCCTAGCTCTGAAGGGAACTTCCCCCTAGCTCTGAAAGTAACTTCTCCCTAGCTCTGAAGGGAACTTCCCCCTAGCTCTGAAGGGAACTTCCCCCTAGCTCTGAAGGGAACTTTTCCCTAGCTCTGAAGGGAACTTCCCCCTAGCTCTGAAGGGAACTTTTCCCTAGCTCTGAAGGGAACTTTTCCCCAGCTCTGAAGGGAACTTTTCCCTAGCTCTGAAGGGAACTTCCCCCTAGCTTTGAAGGGAACTTCCCCCTAGCTCTGAAGGGAACTTTTCCCTAGCTCTGAAGGGAACTTCCCCCTAGCTCTGAAGGTAACTTTTTCCTAGCTCTGAAGGGAACTTCCCCCTAGCTCTGAAGGGAACTTTTCCCTAGCTCTGAAGGGAACTTTTCCCTAGCTCTGAAGGGAACTTCCCCCTAGCTCTGAAGGGAACTTCCCCCTAGCTCTGAAGGGAACTTTTCCCTAGCTCTGAAGGGAACTTTTCCCTAGCTCTGAAGGGAACTTCCCCCTAGCTCTGAAGGGAACTTTTCCCTAGCTCTGAAGGTAACTTTTCCCTAGCTCTGAAGGGAACTTCCCCCTAGCTCTGAAGGTAACTTTTCCCTAGCTCTGAAGGTAACTTTTCCCTAGCTCTGAAGGTAACTTTTCCCTAGCTCTGAAGGGAACTTTTCCCTAGCTCTGAAGGTAACTTTTCCCTAGCTCTGAAGGGAACTTCCCCCTAGCTCTGAAGGGAACTTTTCCCTAGCTCTGAAGGTAACTTTTCCCTAGCTCTGAAGGGAACTTTTCCCTAGCTCTGAAAGTAACTTCCCCCTAGGTCTGAAAGTAACTTCCCCCTAGCTCTGAAGGGAACTTTTCCCTAGCTCTGAAGGGAACTTTTCCCTAGCTCTGAAGGGAACTTCCCCCTAGCTCTGAAGGTAACTTCCCCCTAGCTCTGAAGGGAACTTCCCCCTAGCTCTGAAGGGAACTTTTCCCTAGCTCTGAAGGGAACTTTTCCCTAGCTCTGAAGGGAACTTCCCCCTAGCTCTGAAGGTAACTTCCCCCTAGCTCTGAAGGGAACTTTTCCCTAGCTCTGAAGGGAACTTTTCCCTAGCTCTGAAGGGAACTTTTCACTAGCTCTGAAGGGAACTTTTCCCTAGCTCTGAAGGGAACTTTTCCCTAGCTCTGAAGGGAACTTCCCCCTAGCTCTGAAGGTAACTTCCCCCTAGCTCTGAAGGGAACTTTTCCCTAGCTCTGAAGGGAACTTTTCCCTAGCTCTGAAGGGAACTTTTCCCTAGCTCTGAAGGGAACTTTTCCCTAGCTCTGAAGGTAACTTTTCCCTAGCTCTGAAGGGAACTTTTCCCTAGCTCTGAAAGTAACTTCCCCCTAGCTCTGAAGGGAACTTTTCCCTAGCTCTGAAGGTAACTTTTCCCTAGCTCTGAAGGGAACTTCCCCCTAGCTCTGAAGGGAACTTTTCCCTAGCTCTGAAGGTAACTTCCCCCTAGCTCTGAAGGGAACTTTTCCCTAGCTCTGAAGGGAACTTCCCCCTAGCTCTGAAGGGAACTTTTCCCTAGCTCTGAAGGGAACTTTTCCCTAGCTCTGAAGGGAACTTTTCCCTAGCTCTGAAGGGAACTTTTCCCTAGCTCTGAAGGGAACTTTTCCCTAGCTCTGAAGGGAACTTTTCCCTAGCTCTGAAGGTAACTTTTCCCTAGCTCTGAAGGGAACTTCCCCCTAGCTCTGAAGGGAACTTTTCCCTAGCTCTGAAGGTAACTTTTCCCTAGCTCTGAAGGGAACTTTTCCCTAGCTCTGAAGGGAACTTCCCCCTAGCTCTGAAGGGAACTTTTCCCTAGCTCTGAAGGGAACTTTTCCCTAGCTCTGAAGGGAACTTTCCCCTAGCTCTGAAGGGAACTTCCCCCTAGCTCTGAAGGTAACTTTTCCCTAGCTCTGAAGGGAACTTCCCCCTAGCTCTGAAGGGAACTTTTCCCTAGCTCTGAAGGGAACTTCCCCCTAGCTCTGAAGGGAACTTCCCCCTAGCTCTGAAGGTAACTTCCCCCTAGCTCTGAAGGGAACTTCCCCCTAGCTCTGAAGGGAACTTTTCCCTAGCTCTGAAGGGAACTTCCCCCTAGCTCTGAAGGGAACTTTTCCCTAGCTCTGAAGGTAACTTCCCCCTAGCTCTAAAAGGGAATTTTCCCTCTTGAAGGGAATTTCCCCCCTGCTTGAAGGGAATTTTTCCCCTAGCTCTGAAGGGAATTTTTCCCCTAGCTCTGAAGGAAATTTCCCCCCTGCTCAAAGGTAATTTCCCCCCTAGCTCTGAAGGGAACTTTTCCCTAGCTCTGAAGGGAACTTTTCCCTAGCTCTGAAGGGAACTTTTCCCTAGCTCTTAACATTATAGGCAGATACTACCTTTACACGTAAACGTGCAAACCTAAGTGCTAGGGCCCATAACGTGCAAGTGATAGAAATGGGGCAGGGCCTTAAAGTAAAAATAAGTAAAAGTAAGACCATTAAACGTAAGACCATAGATGTGAGGAGTTCTGTTTTTACTTTAACTGTTTAAACTAACCCACATCGTCTCTGGGACTGTAAGGTCAGCAGGTCAGCGGCCGCTGGACGTTCAGGGATCAGGTTTGGTGGTTGGAGCCTCTATCCTGTGGAACAGGAACTCGATTCAATGGCTTCTCGTCGTTTCCACACACAGCTTGACCAAATGAATCAGGAAAACATTTTTATCTAAAGAAACACTGAAGATATGGCGGCTGTTTTTCTGTAAATATAGCTCACCTTTCTGAGTGACTGTGCCTGTGAGAGATCAGCCCATCTGCTCTTCAGGGGGAACAAATGAGCGTGCAGAAGCTCATTCATGCTCGGTTCAAGTTACGGTCCGTCCGCATCACTGGACCAAATTACTTAGATAGATCTACATCAGTGTGTCAGACTCACAGTCTCACACTCAACATGGTGCAGTTCTTCTAAAAGGCACCAATTTTGCTCACTGTGAGGAAAATGCCAGTGAATGTGAAGCAGGTCGTAGCTTTAATTCAAACAGGCTGCAGAATCTGCTGCACTAACCTCTCCTGCTATACGTGCATCTGTTTGTGATCGTGGTAACTGAGCATTACTAATAACAGATCTGTTACACATGCACACTTCTATATACATGGAGCAGATGTCAGCAGCCTGCAGAAGGCAGCCAATGACCAAGCAGCTTTAAGTTTCACTGGATCCGTTTATTTGCTTCAGATAACGAGAGCAGCGGCCTGCAGTGTTGGTCAGGTTAACCTGAGAAACATGGCCGTTAATAACTGGAGACAAATGGAAAAATGCGATGCAGTGTGAGATTAAAAGCCATTAAAAAAAGCTTTTTCTTTGCTGTTTTCTTTTTAGCATTTCATGATGTTTTATAAAAAGTTGCTTTAATATTACTTTGTTGTAATACTTCCAACCCAGCACCTATAAGCACCGTTTTCATATGAGTTTGGACCCGACTTTAAAATCTTCTAAACATAGACTGAGAAACTGCTCCCCCAACCAGTTCCAGGTTTGCTTGTGTTTCCCAAGTTTTTGCAAGTTCTGATGATAAGCATGTTCTCCATGTTCATGAAGGCAAACATTAAAGAGACACCATCTTGGCTGAGCTTTGTGCATACTGTCAATTGTGCACGTTTTTTTTTTATATAGATTAGAATAGAAAATCTCTTTATTGTCCCACAATGGGGAATTTCTGGTGTTTACAGCAGCATAAGATAATAGAAAATAATGGTCTCACAAATGTGGACCTTAGAAAAATGTATAAGAATAAAATAATAGTGAAGAGTTAAAAGATAAGCAATAAAATTCTATAAAGTGTTTTTACCATATAAATACTCTGTATATGAAAAATAAATAACCAATATGCAGCTATGGACATTTTTCCAGTAATTTGAAAATAGCAGCAACATCAGAGATGTGCAGAATGACAGCAGCAGGTTATTTAACTGACTAAGGTAGAAACTGAGCAGAATCAGCATGAATGGAAGAACTGGTTGAGGTTACTGGGAACAGTGGTGGTTCTAGAGTCTTCCAGCTGCTGGGAGGAAGGATCTGTGATAACGCTCCCTGGTGCAATTAAGGTGCAGCAGTCTGTCACTGAAGGAGCTGTCCAGTTCAGCACCAGCTTCATGCATGGAGGGGGGCATTATCCAACAGAGATGTTCATTTATTTAGGATCCGTCTGTTTCCAGAGTCCAGAGGGCATCCAATCACAGCTGGCCTTCCTGATCAGCTGATCCAGCCGCTTCCTCTCAGCTACAGATGAGCCGCTGCTCCAACAGACAGCATAGAAGATGGCTGATGCCACAGGAGAGTCAGAGAAGGTCTTTAGGAGACCCCCCCCCCCTCAGTCTCCTCAGCAGGAAGAGTCTGCTCTGACCTTTCTGATATACACGCAAACCTGAGGAATGGTCTTAGTCAGAACATTAAAAAGACCAGAGATCAGATCACTGAGACCAGATGAACAACTGCTGTGGTCCACCTTCCTTTTCCATCATCAGCCCCTCCAGGAGGAAGGAGAGAGCAGCCTGACACGACACGTCCACTTCGGCAAGAAGCCGAGGCACAGAATAGGTCTGCAGCGTGGCCCAGGTCCAGCGCTCCACTCACACACACACCAAGCGTGACCTGTCTAAATGACTGAGAGATGGAGATAAAGACCCAGAGTAACAGAGGTGGAGAGCAGGAGTAATGCAAGCATTCTGGCCCGGGTTCAAGAGTTTTCTTCAGGCCCAGGAGGTTTTATTTGGAACAATCTGTTTCCATGATATGGTCAAAGTTTCAGATGGAAAAATCTAATAAAGCAACTGAAAATAAAAGGTTGTTGGTTTGCATATATCAGATTTACCTTAGTGTTGCATTTGTAAACAGGATGAGTGATGGTCTCTACGAAGTGGTGCCTCATGCAGCGCTCTGGGTCAGTGTCAACCAGCTGCTGGTGCCCCTTATCACCAGCCTTGCTGCCGCTGGCAGCCTGAACGAAGCCCAGTAGGGGACAACAGATCAGGACCAGCAGGAGTCCAGACGGAGGGCCGGCAGAGATGGACGGTTTCATGGCTGTGACACCCTGATGCTGCGCAGGTGGCCAAGGCGTCAGAACCGCTGTCCCTCTGGTTCTCTCCCACCTGGCTTAGCAGAGTCTCACTCTTCTTATTGCGTCCCTGATGCTGCGCAGGTGGCCAAGGCGTCAGAACCGCTGTCCCTCTGGTTCTCTCCCACCTGGCTTAGCAGAGTCTCACTCTTCTTATTGCGTCCCTGATGCTGCGCAGGTGGCCAAGGCGTCAGAACCGCTGTCCCTCTGGTTCTCTCCCACCTGGCTTAGCAGAGTCTCACTCTTCTTATTGCGTCCCTGATGCTGCGCAGGTGGCCAAGGCGTCAGAACCGCTGTCCCTCTGGTTCTCTCCCACCTGGCTTAGCAGAGTCTCACTCTTCTTATTGCGTCCCTGATGCTGTTCAGCAGCCTGTAGGGAAAGAGGGGGGCAGGTGTTCAGGCCACTCCATCCCTCGCTGCCTCAGTCCATCTCAGTCTGAAAGAACAAAGAAAACACAAAGACATGGTTTCAAACAGAAGATCAGAAAATGGCAGGCTTGGAAAAGTTTATTTATTTCACTTCTGTTCAAAGTTGGTTTATCAATGTTGCTATGGTTACAGGTTAATAGGGATGATGTGTGTTTAAGGTGGATTAATTTTCCTTCCCAGTCAGTTTCAGGTCTGCTGTAACTTAACTGATGACCTGTTGATGTAATTCCCTGTATTTTAGATGGTCCCTAAATTCAGGAGAAAACATAATTTTTGAGGATTTTGATGGAAAGCACCTTTGACCATGACTTTTTCCTGCCTCACAGTGTCACTTGCATTTTGTTCAGGGATTTGACTAGGCCGTTCTAACACAGTGAAGATACTTTGACCTAAACATTTCCGTTACATCTGTGTGTGTTTAGGGTCCCTGTCCTGCCGTAGGGTGAACCTCCATGCTGTGTCTGCTGCAGCCTCTAGCAGGACTCCTTCTCTGATTTCTATTCAGCTCCATCCATCTTCTCCTCATCTCTGTGCTGCTGTCTGTGCAGCAGGACAGCTTCAGTGGGATGTAGAACTGATGCTGACTCCATCAACAGATCCTTCTACCTGAGCTGTGCTTCTAACCTTTATTCTGATCTCAATCAAGCTAAGAATTTATGAATAAATTTATTTAAGACTAGAAAACTGTTCATAAAAACTGAACATTTTTTTATTTTAGTCTTTCGTCTGGAAGATGAGAGGCTAACTTGGCTAATTTGGTTCTGGATGTTCAGAGCAGCTCTAACTGTGAACATTCTTTGACACTCTAGAATTCCAGCTCTTCTTTCTAGGAATCTGGTCAAATTTATTTTTTTTGTCAGGGTTTTACCCTGACAACTCTGCAGCTTCTCTACTGTTACCCACTCATTACTCCATCCAGACAGTTTCTTGCCCACAGGAGTAAAAGGAGTAAATCATGATAATCTAATTAAAATTAAAATAATTCAATAACTCCAATTGGGGAAAAAGTTAAAACAATTAAATGCGGTCTGTTTAACATAAGATCTCTTTCCTCTAAAAGTCTGCTAGTTAATGACTTGATTTGTGATAATCACATTGACTTGTTTTGCCTTACAGAAACCTGGCTGCAGCAAGAGGATTATGTGAGCATAAATGAGGCAACTCCTTCAAGCTATTTAAATTTTCACATCCCCAGAAGTTCTGGGCGAGGAGGAGGAGTAGCAACAATCTTCCAGTCTGACTTACTGATTACTCCCAAAACAGTTAATACCTACAACTCTTTTGAACATTTAACCCTTAATTTCCCTGATCCAAATTTCAAGGCAAGAAAACCTCTTCTTTTTGTAACTTTGTATCGTCCACCAGGTCCTTACTCTGAATTTTTAGATGAGTTTTCAGAGTTCCTTTCTGATTTGGTATTAAATACTGACAGGGTCATCATAGTGGGAGATTTTAACATCCATGCTGACATTGAAGGCGATAGCTTAAGAGCAGCCTTTAATGCTATCTTAGACACTATTGGCTTTGTTCAAAATGTGAATAGTCCCACGCATTCTCATCTTCATACTTTGGATCTTGTGCTGACATACGGCATAGAATGTGAAGAAATAACAGTATACTACAATTGTAGTCTGTGATCCTCAATGCATTTGTTGATGTAGGCTGACACAGTCATGGCAGACTCATCAATATTTAATAAGTTGTCATATGTTGCTGCAGCCTTGAAGATGTTCCAGTCAGAGCATTCAAACAGTCTTGGAGTGTTTCCATGGCCCCCTCAGACCACACTCTGACCTCTTTAGCTGTCGGTTTAGCCCTGATCAGCTGGGGTTTATATCCAGGGATAAGCATGACAGATAGGTGATCTGATGTACCGAGGTGGGGGCGGGGGTGGGGGTGGGGGGTTGCGGCTGCTCTGAATGCATCTTTGATGTTAGAGTAAACCAGGTCTAAAGTGTTTTCACCCCGAGTTGCAAAGTCCACATGTTGGTAGAAATGAGGGAGAACGGTCTTCAGTTAGCCTGGTTAAAATACATACAGTTGACACATTTGATACAGTTGACCATAATATTCTTTTAGAAAGACTTGAATATTTTGTTGGAATTAAAGGAACAGCACTAGACTGGTTTAAATCTGATCTATCTGATCAAATTCAGTTTGTTCATGTTAATGATAGATCTTCCACATGCTCAAAGGTTACCTGTGGAGTACCACAGGGATCAGTGCTAGGACCAATTCTCTTTACTTTATATCTATGCTCCCAATCGGTAGAATTATTAGACAGCATGGGATTAATTTCCACTGTTATGCTGATGATACCCAGCTATATCTGTCTATAATCCAGATGAAGCTAACCCATTACATAGATTACAGGCATGTCTGAAGACATAAAAACCTGGATGACTCTTAACTTTCTGCTTCTGAATGCAGACAAAACAGAAGTTATAGTCTTTGGACCAGAGTCTTTGAAAAATAAGCTGATTAGTCAGTCGCTTCATTTGGATGGGATTAAACTGATTTCAGATAATAAAGTAAAAAATCTTAGTGTTATTTTTGATCAGGACCTGTGTTGTGCTGCTGCCAGATAAATAATCTGAAATGAGTTGAACTTAATTGAATGTGTTGGTGAAATCAGTCAAAATGCAGGAGTTGGGGTTTCAGCATGACAAGTGAAAACCTTCATGTTCATGGATTGTTGCTGATGGTTATATTTATTTGATATGAAGAGTTTAAAGCCGCCATCGACAGCTCCTCAAACATATAACAGGGACTGAGTTCTGAAGGTTGCAGGTCATTCAGACCTTCCTGTCCACACCTCTGCTGACACCCACCAGGACACACAGGAAGAAACAATCCCTGATTTCTGTTATGCAGGAGAAACTAGAGCTCTGCTCTGAAGCTCCGCCCCTTTCTCCCTGCAGGAGCAACGTTTCATTAAAACAAAGCTTTTCCCAACAAGCCCTCTCTGGGCTGTAAACCCTCTGCCATCCCTGCAACATATTTCCACAACTATTTACCTTTCACCTCCTTTTAGTCTCCAGATTTTTACAGCCCTCCTGACCAGAGGGCTTTTCTCAGCAGGAAGCATGTTTCTGGCTGAGGCCGACCTGCTCACACACAATGTGCCTTTAATTATGGAGCAGGCTGGGACTGGACCCAGCAGAACCAGAACCAGCAACTAAAACCCAGCAGAACCAGAACCAGCAACTGACACCCAGCAGAACCAGAACCAGCAACTAAAACCCAGCAGAACCAGAACCAGCAACTAAAACCCAGCAGAACCAGAACCAGCAACTGACACCCAGCAGAACCAGAACCAGCAACTAAAACCCAGCAGAACCAGAACCAGCAACTGAGACCCAGCAGAACCAGAACCAGCAACTAAAACCCAGCAGAACCAGAACCAGCAACTGACACCCAGCAGAACCAGAACCAGCAACTGAGACCCAGCAGAACCAGAACCAGCAACTAAAACCCAGCAGAACCAGAACCAGCAACTGACACCCAGCAGAACCAGAACCAGCAACTAAAACCCAGCAGAACCAGAACCAGCAACTGAGACCCAGCAGAACCAGAACCAGCAACTAAAACCCAGCAGAACCAGAACCAGCAACTGACACCCAGCAGAACCAGAACCAGCAACTGAGACCCAGCAGAACCAGAACCAGCAACTAAAACCCAGCAGAACCAGAACCAGCAACTGACACCCAGCAGAACCAGAACCAGCAACTGAGACCCAGCAGAACCAGAACCAGCAACTGAGACCCAGCAGAACCAGAACCAGCAACTAAAACCCAGCAGAACCAGAACCAGCAACTGACACCCAGCAGAACCAGAACCAGCAACTAAAACCCAGCAGAACCAGAACCAGCAACTGAGACCCAGCAGAACCAGCAACTGACACCCAGCAGAACCAGAACCAGCAACTAAAACCCAGTAGAACAACAACCAGCAACTGAGACCCAGCAGAACCAGAACCAGCAACTAAAACCCAGCAGAACCAGAACCAGCAACTGACACCCAGCAGAACCAGAACCAGCAACTAAAACCCAGCAGAACCAGAACCAGCAACTGAGACCCAGCAGAACCAGCAACTGACACCCAGCAGAACCAGAACCAGCAACTAAAACCCAGTAGAACAACAACCAGCAACTGAGACCCAGCAGAACCAGAACCAGCAACTGAGACCCAGCAGAACCAGCAACTGACACCCAGCAGAACCAGAACCAGCAACTAAAACCCAGTAGAACAACAACCAGCAACTGATACCCAGCAGAACCAGAACCAGCAACTGAGACCCAGCAGAACCAGAACCAGCAACTAAAACCCAGCAGAACCAGAACCAGCAACTAAAACCCAGCAGAACCAGAACCAGCAACTAAAACCCAGTAGAACAACAACCAGCAACTGAGACCCAGCAGAACCAGAACCAGCAACTGAGACCCAGCAGAACCAGAACCAGCAACTAGAGACCCAGCAGAACCAGAACCAGCAACTAAAACCCAGCAGAACCAGAACCAGCAACTGAGACCCAGCAGAACCAGAACCAGCAACTGACACCCAGCAGAACCAGAACCAGCAACTAAAACCCAGTAGAACAACAACCAGCAACTGAGACCCAGCAGAACCAGAACCAGCAACTGAGAACC